CCCCCACGCTGGGGGTGGGAGCGGACTTGTCCCCCTTCCCCGGCTCCCAGCGGCTGGGCCCCCTCCCGAGGGGGGAGAGCGAGGGCAAGCAGAAGCAGCGACTGACGTGAGTGCTGGGGCAGGAGAAGTGAGAAGGGGAAGCTGCATGTGCCGCAGTAGCACTTTCCCTTTCTGTGACCCAGCCTGCTGCAGGGGGCAGAGCCGGCCCCAGCGCTGCCCGCCCTCCCCCTGCCAGGAGCGGCTCCCTCGGGCGAGCACAGTCACGGGGTCAAGGGGACAAACTCCAGGGGTCGGAGCCCAGCTGACAGCTTTATTCAAGGCAGGTGACGGGTGGCCGATGGTAGTGCGCAGCTACATGCTGTGCAGCGTGTCGATCACAGCAGATTCCTCTGCCAGTCCCCATCCACCGCAGAGGGTCCCTGGCACCAGCACTCCCCACGGTGCTGGATCCAGCCTGGTCTCCTTTGAGGCTCCTTCCTGCTCCTGCCCAGGTCCTGCCTTGCCTGCATCTGTTTTGGTCCCGGGGTCCCTCCCTCGGTGAGCCCCAGCCCGCGGGGGTTCCTCAGCTAGAGCTTGCTCTGGTTTGGCGTTTGCTCCACCCTGATGACTCCTTCCTGGGCGCAGGTGACAGCCAGGACCCCGTCCCTGCGCCACAGCCGTCCCTGCACCAGTCCCCGGCACCCACCTGCAGAGAGTACCCGTCAGCCCACGGCCCGCCGCCCCCAGGACAGGCAGGGCTGGCCCTTGCCACACGGGTCCCCGGGGAACACGGAGAGGACTCACCAGCCCAGGGGCTCTCGCACTCGTACAGCATCCAGTGGTCCGCTCGGAAGGGCGCGTGGAACCACATGGAATGGTCAAGGGACACCATGAACTTGACACGGTACTGCTGGTGCGGGAGCAGGGCCGTGCCCAGGAAGGCGTAGTCGGAGATGTAAGCGGCCACGCAGCAGTGCACCTTCATGTCCGTCTCTCCTGCAAAGCAACCGGCACTGCCTGTCCCCTGTGGCGTGGCTGGGGGAGAAGCCTGGGCGTGTAGCACGAGGCAAAGCCCCGGGCGCTCTGCTGCCCCGAGGGTCAGCTGCTGGCCAAGCAGAGCCGAGATGCTTTTCCAGACACGCGCCCCTTGCCGTGCCCCCCCGGAGAAAGCCCGCCGCGGCTGAGCACGGCACACGGGCATCGCTTCATGCTCCAGCACCCGCACCCGCATTTCAGCCTTGCAATCCCCAGGCTTCCCCGCAGGCTTGGGGCACCGC